AAGAAGATGGTTATACACAATTGTAAAACAAAATAATTTGTGGTTGTAGGTGAAAAGTGAGCTACCAAGTCAATTTAAGGCCTTTAGATTCCAGCAACACCGTTGGTCTTGTGGTCCAGCCAATCTCTTCAGGAAAATGATAATGGAAATTGTTCACAATAAGGTCTTTTACCACTTGCTTTTATTTACACATTTCACACATGTGAACTACATTTTTCTTGGCTTATCATTAGCGACAATTTGAAAGGAGACAACCTCATTAATTTCATATTCTAATTTATAACAACTGGAAAATGAAACCCAACAAAACTATATAAAGCCAAACGGATTGGTCGCTTCACTTGTCAATGAATACACTTCTTAGATTAAATTACTGGTCAAGTTGATTTATTCAGATTTGTATATAGTATTGGTTATTGAACTTGATCTGGTTGTTACCATGATAGTGTCTGGTTCAGACATGGCTAGTTCTAGTCATTATGTAAAGTATGCTGAATACGGTTTACGACAAACTAACAAAACATAGAGTATAATTGAAATATGAGTAACGATAATATTTCAAATATTGAACATGTCCTATAACATTGTTTTACTATAATTAATAGCCTATCAAGAATTAAGCCGGTTGAACCAAAGTGCTAGAACTAAACATTAAGATTTTCTTTTATTTCTACATTTACATACGTGGAGTATGATTAATAATAACCTTAGCTAATTAACAACTTATGATAAACAGAGAGTGAAGATTTGGAAGAAGTTTTATCTGATTTACAGCTTCTTTTTCCTGAGGAAAGTCTTAGTCCATTTCTTCACTTTCTTCTTCTACTGTGTCATTCTTCCAACAAGCGTCTTCCTTCCTGAAATCAATATTCCGATTTGGTTAACTATGTACGTTCCTTCTGTCATCGCCCTCTTGGGTGTCATCGCCACTCCAAGGTTAGTACCACTACTACTTCCTTAACCACCGGATTGATTCACTTGATATATTAAACCCTTTTAGATATGAATTATTGGTATGTATGTAGATCATTCTACCTCGTGATTTTTTGGGTATTGTTTGAGAATGTAATGGCTATGCACCGTACCAAAGGAACTTTAATCGGCTTATTTGAAGGAGTAAGAGTCAATGAATGGGTAGTCACCGAAAAAGTAGGAGATGCTCTTAAGACTGAGCTACTTCCCAAGCCTCGCAATGGCCTTCTCCAAAGGTAAACTAACAAACAAAAAAGGATCTATTTGATAACATAATTTCTCACATAATATCATTCGGTCATGCCGTCATGGGTTTAGCTAGGTCTAGTGATTTATTCAAAATAAACTAGAAAAAACCTTTGTACACAAAAATGTTATAATGAGTCGGTCATTACGATCTTCTAATGAGTGTCGATAGAGAAACAATAGGTGATTACTAATGAGTGAGAAAATATGTTTTGTTGCAGAATAAACTCAAAGGAGTTGATGATGGCCTTATACCTATTGTCTTGTGCTTTCTACGACCTTTCTTTTGGGAACGGATTTTTATACATATTTCTCTTCATGCAAGCCATTGCTTTCTTCACCTCCGGAGTTGGCTTTGTTGGAACTTAATATGCCTCATTCAAAATCTTCTATTTATAATCAAGAATATGTGTAATAAACATTCACATGTTGACAAATATGTGAATTAATTTGTTTCGCATGGTGTTAATTTTATATATTTTGTAATGTTTGTCCAACTACATTTGTTGTTAATGAAATATCGTTTTTTTTTTTGAAATATTTGTTAATGAAATATCGTTGAGGATACGAAATGTATGTGTGTGTGTTACGAGATGAAGATATAAGAACATGCAATGAATAAGCAAACACGTGGTCAAAACGACAAGCCTATAATAACTTAGTTAAGTGTTTAACTTTAGGCTTCAAACAGTTTGACTAAAAGTCTAAAACACACTCACACATAAAGTTTTTAATGAATTTCTTAAAGAACGTACTCGAGTGATGCATTGAATACTAAGCGAGTTCATTAACGTAATCTCTACATTTACTATGTAATTTTACATTCCATAACAACACGTACACCATATCTTTTCATATCTAATTTGTTCGATGTTCATAACTTTGAGTCATTCATAGCACAATATTATTCACAACAACACACATAAAACACGTTATTAATCGACATACAGTTCACCCAGCAAACATCAATTATTGACAAAGATATTAACTTACACATAATTTTAATTTCTAGAAAATCCATCTAAATTTTACCATTTGATTAATCTTACAAATAAATGTAACGGTCGAGCAACTCATTCACCAAATTTTAATGAATCTAAAATATAATACCATTTTGAATGACCAAATGGAAACAATTCGATAATGTATAGCATTGTTGATCTCATGTTAGACTCAGTGCCGTGCCTAGATTTCCAAAGGCCTTAAGCGAAATTAT